CCCACTTTTTGACAAGGTACGTTTAAGCGGCGGCGATGGTGTAATGGTTAGCGTACCGGGCTGTTGTACCCAGTTCGCGGGTTCAAACCCGATCGAAGCCGTGGATTTTTAAGGGCGAAAAAATCCTTCGTACGCCTTCCTTCGGAGGGGAAGTAAAGCCGGCTGTCCCATGTTCGTAGATTTACTTGCATGTAAAAGATCCTCAAGCCTAAATGACGCCTCTGAGCTAAATTCAAATTGCCTGTTTCTCGCCCAAGAAATACCTCCTTTCTCTGCTAGTTGGTGAAAGGAGCGTAGCGAAATTTGTGTGGTCAGACGGAAGAGCGGGCCTGATGGCCCGAGTCTCGCCACGTAAAATAAGGCAAATTCAATTCAATACATAACTAAAACCAAACTTCTTGAAAACAATTTCCAATTTTTGAAGAGCAATGTCGGAAATTTCTTGACGCACCAAACTCAGCTTGAGCTTTAATTGTAACAAATATAATGTACTTTAAAAACAACATAACTTTTTCTTCAGGATGAATGATTATTGAGCTAAAATCTAAATAAGTGCCAATACTTCCTGTTTTTGTATTGGGCATAACTTGCTCAGGTTTTTCGAAGCTCTAAAATCGACTTTTTAGTATTAGCATAGGTCCTAACAACATATTAAAAAATTAGAACTACATGACCTTTTGAAGTAAGGTTGAATAAATTGACAGCTCTGAGGAACCAGGAGAAAGGGCTCGAACCTGAACATCCAACTGCATAAAATAGCAACTACAACCAGTGGCGGATCCATGAAGGGAATATGGAAGCCATGCCTCCTACCAAAGGCCTAGCAAGAATTTTTTTTAAATGAGAAAGAATCAGGAAAAATAACCATAGAAACTTTAAAAGAAGTTTGGGAAAACCCCAAAAATGAACCTGTATAGAATCTATCCCTATTAAATTCGCGACAATCTGATTAATGAACTGTCGTAAAGTCTGGTGTTTTGTTTCGTTAGTGTCTTGCACTTCAGTACGTTTCTTCAGACTTCAGAACAGTTTTGTTTCTGAAAGGAACTTAAGAAGGTTTCTCATTGAATTGTTAATAAAATGCTTGCAATTCGTAAAACGATAACGGAACAACAAATATCACAGGATCGCAGAAACCAATGCACGCACCACAAGAACTGAAATGATCGCTTATCGCCTCTCTGCCCTCCGCATCTGACTGTCCAGGTCAGTGATGAGAATAAATGATAGTTAGAGGATAGTAAGAGTATGGCGAACTTAGACCGAGGGAAGCGTGCAAATGAAGAGGTACTCCAACACGGGCGTTTAAAGTTTTCCACTCGGATGTCCGGTTGGTCGTCAGCTTTGGAAAAAGTTCCTGGACGTTTGTGGGAAGAGTCCATCGCGAGCGGAAAGGACGTTGTGGATCGGATTTGTATCGAACATTTTTAATTACACCCTACCTGACAACTCGGTGTTGGCCGGGAATTTATTTCTCACAATCGTCTACTAACCAGCGATGTCGCCCCTTCCGCTTTTCCATCTCTCCTGCACGCCTTTATCCGGCCTGCCATGGCCATCCTGATTGGTCTGCCCCGCCCAACTAGCCCCTTCCGCTCTATCTCGTCGTCCCGCCCGCCACACTTCGCCAATATTCTCCGCGCGCCCCATCCGGCCTGCTGTTGGGCCGCCCTGATTTAAAACTCCCGCCCTGCCAACTTCTCTAGACCTTCCGCCCTATCTTTGCCTTCTCGCTCTCAGCACGTCTGCCGCCCATATATTCTACACCTCACTCTATTCGGCCGCCACGGCCGTCCTTGCTACAACTCCCGGCCCCCTCACAATCCACAGCTTCTGCCCCCCCCCCCCCCCCGCCTATGTTCCTGCTCGCTCAAAACGCTTTGGTTCACCCCCCCTCTCGGCACGAGCCGCCATGGTAGTCTGCTCACCTGCCCCGCACATCCAGCTTATTCTGCGGATCCCTTTCTTCCTGGCCATTTCCAGCTCGTCTTGCTGTATCCCACCGCACGCCCTACCCCGGCCTGCCGTGGCCTTTCTGCTTACAACTCCCGCCCTCCACTCCAAGCTTCTGCCCCCCCCACCCAAGCCTATGGTTCCTCTCGCTCAAACCTTTGTTCAACCCCCCCCCCTCGCACTGCAGCCGCCATGTAGTTCCTGCCCTCACCTGTCCGCACATCCAGCTTATTCTTCCTGGCCATCCCACTTCGTCTGCTGTATCCACCGCACGCCCTACCCGCCTGCCGTGGCCACCCTTGCCTACGACCCCCCCCCCTCCCCTCCCATCCAGTGTATTCCGATCTACGTTCCTCCCGCTTATAATGCTTTGTCCGTTTCTCCTGAAATTACCAGATTCAAAGACAGAAAGCATTCACTTTCACTTTTGAAATTGCATAAGCATTGCATTGCATACTTTAAGGAGGAGAATGATTAGAATTTTGTGATAAAATTAGCAGTTTTGAAGGCCGAACGACCATATAATACTATTAAGAATATTTTTCGCTAATTTGATCAGAACGACGGAACAATTAGGAGAGCTTGCCCAAACTAAATCCTTGGAGTATGTACTGAAATGGCAACGTTGCGTAAACTGGGAATTGCAGCGCCTCGCACAGTGAAGTACAGCTCGGCACCGGCCGAAATGTTTCTCACGGTGTACAGTCTCATGCCGCCCGGAAGGCTCCCGAAAACTGTGTCCGCTGGAGCCGGGCAGGCCGTCCACGCGGCTGAGCCTCGGAGGATGTGAGGTGCAGCTCCGGTTTGACTGCAACGGACTAACGGGCGTTTGTCCTCGCTACCTTCCACCCTAATCGCAATGGGCAGTCACGAATATTGAAGTCTCACGATGAATATCAATGGGGAGAAATATAATATTTTCTAAGTTAATACGTGTTGTTTGTCCCCGTATTCAGTGATTGTCAGAATTGTCCCCATATGCAGAAATTTATAATGTAAAGGTACACAACAATTGAAATACACATTCATATTTAAATGTCATACATGAAATGCGAAGAGACTTGTTGTTGTGAAAGTGGCATAACACTTGAAAATTGTACCATGTTCCTAAACTAAACTGTGTTTGAAATTTTCAAAAAGTTAGAGGTTTTAATAAAATGGAACTTTCACCATAGTCACAAGCAATGTATTCGAACAATAAATGTAAAGAAAATTTGAAGTTATGTTGAAACTGTAATATGAGATTGATATAAAGTATTTCTTAAATTTCAAAAATCCTTTAAAATTTGTACTTCCTGAAGTTCAGTCAAATCATTATGGGGTGTACTCATTTTGGAAACATCTTGACAGTTTCTGCTGTAATATTGTTCATAGTATTTATTTCCGTTGGTTACATTTCTCTTCCTCCTCCTCCTCCTCATTCAATTTTAGCAATTCCTCTCTATCGGGAAGGGAACAAGTGACACCGTGTCGGCCGGGCCGTTCTTTGCTGATGGAGACTTGGACTTTCTTTCCGCGCCGGCTCGGGCTACGCGATGCGTGCGGGTCGCTTCAAGTAGCTTCGATACTAAAGTCGCTTGCAACTTCCGCCGCTTCTATTTGTTTATACATTGGTTAGAATAATACTCCTGAAATAACATGTTTTAGCTAACAATCTACATTTTAAAAAAAGTGCAATGTGATAGACTGAGGCGATTTATTAGTGAGCCGGGTGATTTTGGTACATGAATTGAAAGTTTCATGTCACTTCAATACTAATTGAAACGTTTCACTACTTTGTTACTGTTCTGAATGGCATCGTACATTACTTAGTCGACATGCCATTCTTATTGCACGGAAATCGATAATCTAGTTACAAGGCTGATATTAGAGACCTGCAAACCTTTCGTAAAATATAATACAATATGACTTCTCGTTTATTAGTAAATAACGCTTATACAATCAACGGCTTATCAGAATCACATATCAGGCAGAACTGGTAAGAAATCTTGTGATTATTGTGATACTTTAATCTAAATGAAACCCTCATAATATTAAAAAGGAAGGAAACACTTTTTTCATTTCCTATCTACACAATATACAAGAAAGATCTGTCTTTCAAGAACACAGTTCATTAAGAGAAAAATATCTCTTGAACATGGTAGTTCAAGGATGTCACCGAAAAACGTTTGAACTTTTGCAATTTTAGTAAATTCCTGGAGTTTATCGAAAATGAGATTGTGCCATTTTTTAGCGTTCTTTGCCGTATCCGAACAAAAAATAATTAAATTTTTTGAAAATGTTAAAACTTCGTGTGAGGTGCCCCTCAAAATCAAAATATCCGTTACAAATTCGCAAAGCTCAGGGAGTCAACTTACAAGAAAACCGTCTAAAAGATGTCAGGAGCGAACGTTGATCACAGACAGAAACCATTTGCTGTAAATAAATGTTTCGGTACCAAGAACTCAAAAAAACTAGATTTTAATTGTTATACAACGTGTTAGAGGAAGTAATTTACTATAAACAACAATAATATTGATCCAACTTTTCTATATCACGGCTCCACAATTGGAGTTTTTCTGACAAAAAATCGTCACTTTCCTTTCAACATCCTCTGAAATGCAGCCAATTATCATTGACTTTATGCCTGTAAATGTCGCGCATTCACACTAATATATCTAGAAAATATTTACTCGTCACTTCACACATTTTGTCTGTCCTGTTATTTTCTGATAGAACACCAAGTAAACATGGATGGCTGAGGTGGCTAGAGCATGTGCTCGTAGGTTCGAGTCCCATCGTGGGCGTGGTTGTCCCTTGTCTTTGATGTAAATGTGTGATTGCGGAAGGCCTCGTGAATCTGCTGACGACAGACCGAGGAGTCCGCGAGTGTGTCTAGTGTAAAAGTTAATATGTGTCTCCATGAGGGACATAGTGGATACCCGGTGTCCTCTGGAATCTCGAAAAATCACACGGAAGGAAAAAACGATTAAGTAAACATGTATGCATAAAATACAAAACATAGTGATGCATCATTTTATGGCATAACAAAAAAAATTGCATTTCAGATGCTGATGGACAGATCTCTTGAAGACATGCGCAACAAGATTCGGGAACAGGTGGAACAGGGAATTGTTTCCAATTATCCTGAAACAATGATGGAATTCGAACCAATTACTACATACTCTTTAGGACAAATGGGAATGCCAGGAGGTGGAGATTATGCTGTCGTATCTGACATTGATAGTCATGCTTGGTATTCCTTTGCTCAGGTAAATATTCGTCATATGTCTATTCTTTTTATATTATCTCGAAGAACATGACGAATAGCAATAATAATAATAATAGTAATAATAATAAACAGTGGTCAACATGTTTAAAGTGCTTGTCTTTCTTTTCGCAGGCATCGCAACACAACGGATCATCGTATGTAATGCGTCATTCAGATGATAAAGTGTTGCCAGGTAATTGGAATATTCATTACACAGCAGACGGACATCCTCAACAAGGTATTTTTCGATATTTTAAATTATTTTTGTGATTTAAATAATACCTCCTACACTTTTTTTAAAAATTGTCATGAAATAACACCAAATAATATTTATTTCAGGTGTTCCATATTTAATGCGATCTCAAATGATAAGTTCTTCAGGACCATATAATGGTACTCTTAATCAATCTTCACATCCATCTGCAAGTGGTCCTGGGATTAACAGAAGTAATCCATCTCAACCTTCGTACCAAATATATTCTCCGTTTTCAACTTCCAACCACCAAAACAAAAATATTATCAAGAAGCCGGAACTTAACGTAAGAATTATTTCTTAGGCAATAATTTGAAATTATGTCTACATTTGCGCGTAAAACAGTTGCGTGGAACAATTTCAACAAAATTATGCACGAATACATACGAACTTTACGCAACCCGCCGCACAGTCAGGGATTAAATGCGTCTCCACTGCATTCAAGTATTCTGCCCCTGCCATTGTGAAATATCAGCTGGAATTATTATTTGAATCTCGGACAAGTAAATCAAATTTTTCCAAAATATTTGCATGTTCCCGATGACAGAACAAGCCCATTCGTGCGAGAAAGTCTTTCATGTTTTAGAATTTTTGCACAGTGTAGCGTAAAATGTGATTAACAATCACGTGATCAGTAGTGTGTGATGTGATGTGTAATACACTGCAATTGCGAAGCATTACCGGGAACACTAGTTTGATATAGTTTAAAACTAAAAATACATGTATGTAGCAATATATTTCACTAGTTTTCTGCAAGTTAATTTTAAAATTATTTTTAATCTTTGAGGCATGGCAAGGGATACATACTTTTGAACATTTTCTGTCCTAACGGTATTTTCCTTGGAGACACCGTTTTTTAATATTATTTTTATTTTTAGAACTAATTAGCATTCACTATGTTGATCTGAATGCTCAACGGTTCTTCACATTGCCAGTATATGATTATAACGTGTTTATGAGCAAATCTGGCTGTAAGAATACGTCGAGTTTCCATAAAGCGAATACCCATGGCGACATTTAATTTTTTTTTGTAGACATTCAACAATGTTCAAGACGAAACTCACTGACTTTTATGTCCTAAATGACGGAACGGTAGCTCCTTACCTAAACAAAGGCAGAGGAGAAATAAACTCTCTTGATTCGTCGTTGACATTCCCTCTTCTACATGCGACTATTGCGCCGACATATAATTTGTGTGCATAGCGGTCGCCCATTTTTGTCACGTCCATGGCGCATTGGGACTCTCTGGTAGCGTGGCTTTTCAACTTTTAGTGCAAATCTATTCACATGTCAGTTATATTTAATAAAAATTATTTCAATTACATCTAAATTGGTTGAATTTGGATAAAGCAGTATGTACGACTATGAACCTTTTGGACATCATTAGGATAATGTTGAATCTGAAGCGCCTTGTGTGTTCGCAAGAAATTTTTTTTTGGGG